CAATTAAATTTCTGGCGGAAAAATTATTCATTGAACAGTTGGGTTATTTTCAAAAAACACCGCAAAGCGAAAATAGATTATTTCTTTTTATGCAAAACTTACGATGATTTTCAGCATTAAGCACACAAGATAGGTGTGAAGAAACAACCGTTCACGCAGTTAACCTAATTCAAGTTTTGTGCTAAAACGCATGATCGCTCCGGCTCGCCTGGTGCGTTCCAGCCTGGGTCTTCATACTCTGATATGATACTCCTAGTGCTACTGAGATAAGGTCAGATATCGAAAATGAACTGTATTAGGCTGTGACTAACCAAGGCTCTATGGAATCAAGCATTTCGACGTAAAACAGTGTTGGTGCATTAACAAAGCGGCCCTAGTGCATTCTTTGCAACGCACTAGCAATAACTGATGTAGAGCTTATGATGACTGCTCAGTGGTAAAACTTACGCAGAGGTAGCCCCAGGCGGCGAATGCGTAAAGTTTCCCTTCTCTAACTCTCTTCATCCATGTATAAGCGTAATCCTGCAGCACTCCAAGCGCTTCTTTGTACTCTTCGATATTATCATCCACGCGTGCCAACTCCACAGTGGCTACTTTTGAAAGAATGCTGAAACAATGACGTTTTCAGCAAAATTGTAGTTGTCGTTGTTTTTGGCTGCACTGTACTAACTGCTACTGCTCTAGCACTGAACCAAATTTTGGTAGCTTTTTGGACAGAAAAGAAAATACTTAGCAAAGATGTTTTCCGAATCGATTTCGATCGCCATGAGACATATCGTTAAAATACTGGTCAGCTTGTGCCGGTTTATTGTTTGAGTGAAAGAACGATCTTCTGCAGTTAAGTCCTCTACTATTTGCAATCGTAGAATTATTGTTAGCGCTGTTTGCACACAAAAATGAAGTCGATCCTCTGGTGAGAACATCGACAAATCCAAATCGCTGGAAAAAAAAATTGATATTTGATTACGATATGCGTGCTATATTGGCATCACGGGCGAGCCTATCAAGATCTCCTCGAGCAGTCCGCACGAGAGCCAGATTTTAACGACACTGCTGCTTTTCAAAGGTCGTCTAAGCAGTTAACTTGCATTGATTGGCATGCGATATTCGTCGGATGTCAGTAAAATGAGCAACATATGCAATCCAATCGATTTTGATTCCTCACGTGGATGAGCTGACATATTCTATACCGCTCCACTGGTTGGAAACCTAACTGATTAACTGCTTATGTAGTCACGAACAGACGCTCTAGGCATTATTTGGAATTACTAAAACTGGGCCGACTCGGCTGGACTGATAGGTGAATTGACAGTGATTGGAAGTCGGAGATGGGGTTGAGAACTGGAGGTGGTGTTTGAGGTCTCCGGAGCCGTAACGGAGGAGAGGAATTTTCGACTGAAGAAGGACTGAAACCTTGCTTGGAGATGGGAATTGAAAAAATTAAGGATGTTTGTAGAGGACTGGTCTATATATGTTTTTTATACTGAGAGTGAAATTTAATACTGGTGGAAGTTAACAATCTTGAACGCGACGCCAAGAAATTTGCTTAGACAAACCCAGGCTGGAAAGCATCGGGCAGGCCGGTGCGATCATAGGTTTTTGCACCGGACTTGAAGTACTCAGGTCACTAACTGCATGAATGGCTGTTGCTTTACACCTACCTTTTGTGGTCATTAGCATAAATCACAATAAATTTTGCAAAGTAGATGTACAATTCCCTTTAACAGTTATTCTTTAGAAGTAACCTAGCTGTTCAGTGAGAAGTTTTCCCGCCAAGAATTTTAAGTGCTCGCACTTAAGAACCGCGCATACCTCAAGACTGAATCTGAAACAATTAAGATGTACTTGGACAGGGAACATTCTCCCAAAATTTCAGCTTTCCAGCTTTTCTGGTTACCGAGTTAGCACTTTTCCCGCCAATACGTTCACATACCCGTCGGCACTTCACATGTCTAGGAAGCTGAATTTGAAATTTTTAAATTGTGCGTGGACAGGGAACATCCTCCTAAAATTTCAGCTATCCAACTCTTCTGATTACCGAGTTAGTAATTTTCCTGCAGAAACTTTCATACGCCGTTACATGAAGTATCACACATAGTTTGGAGCGGAACTTGAAATATTTGAGTTGTACTTGGATGAGGAATATTCCTCCAAAATTTCGGCTTTCTAGATTTCCTAGTTCTTGGGTTGAAAGTGGGTTACAAAAAGTGCGAAAACACTGACACACACATACACAGCCTCTTCCCAATATGCGCTTTTATGTGTTTTTGTTGAGCTGCAGGACCCCTAAAGAAATATGTTGGCGGGAAACGATTTCGCGAACCAGGCAACGCAGAAAGTTGAAACTTTGCAGGAATATTCTCTATGCATTTGCAAGATAAAAATTTTAAACTCAGCTCTCTAGTTCCCCAACCACAGCCTCAAGCAGCTCCTCAGCTTAAAAATCGTTAGCATCTCGAGCCTGAACCACAACTGTATATGCAAATGAGCGTAGATTTTTTGAAAAACGGCCGTTCGAGCAACACTTTCAATTTTTGATGAACTGAGAATTTGCATATTTTCAAAAAAATCGTTCGCAGCTCGGACCTTAACCGCAATCGTATATGTAAATGA